TAATGCAGATGGGACATCATTTTAAAAAGTTAGACTGCCTAGCAGTTCCTTGTCTATCACAGGGACCGTAGTGGTGAACTCTTATTCTCATTACATACGTTACGGTGCATCGCTATGTAACAGATGGAAAAGTGCAGGTTGATTGATCCGTCAAGGTGAGTTGACAGCCCATTCAAAATAAATGGGCTGGCTTACTTCAACATGTCCACTGTAACCAACTAGATAGGTCTGAATGGGTCCCAAGAGATTCCAAATCCTAAATAAATATATTAGAGATTATAAAAAAGGTGATCCATATGATAGCTTATATATCTCTGCATCCCTATGGAAGTTCTGATAAGAATTTATAATAATATTCTGAGAAATTACTCTCCTTTCCTTTGACAAACAAGCTGTACAAATCAAAAGAAACATTTCTAGGAGATTAAGTGCTAATCAAACCCTGCTACTTTACATAACGCCACTTGTAACTGCTCATTTCACTTAGCAGAACTGCTACACAATGCTTTATTACTTGAGCAATATTTTAAAGAAACTCTGTAGATCGGAATATTGAATGATCACTTAGCGAACATCCTTAAGGAGGACTTTCAGTAATGAAAATAAATATTTATAACGCTTTTACAAAGCTTTTCCTTTGTGTTATGTCTTATATAGAGCTAGTGAAAAATATTGTTTTCAAGGACATTATGGCTATCACCTACGTCAACCAATCAGATCAAAGGGGCTGATTTGTAAACTGTCAGAATCAATACTTCACTGTTTTTATTAGGTGACGTATGGATTCTGATGATCTAAGCTGATCTGCATGCCAGTTTCAGGTCAGTGACTCAGAAAGCATTAAAGCCTTTGGATGAAAATAACAGCCAAGCAAACAGCATTTTCAGCAATGGTAGCTTGCATATCTTCTCAGTCCAAATTTGCTTTTATTTTTTAGGCCTTTTTCTGTTCTACACTAGAAAAATCACTGACTGGTATCTAACTAGCTGCTGCAGGTAATGCCAACAGCTCTTTTACTAGCTTTTCAACCCCTTAAATTTTCTTCTGAGAATGCTTGTTGCCTGGCTGCATGTGGCTTTTGGGTCACTGACCCTGAACATGTAATGGATGAGTATAAGCACAATGTAGGAATATATATTCTATATTCTCTAGCCAGCAGCAGGACAAATTTAAATAGAAAGGCTAGGCCCAAATTTACTAGAAACAAAGACCTCAGGCTGGAACTTTATTATGAGAAGTGAGATACTGCAGAGAATACAGCAGTGTAAAAATTAGCCAACAGCAGAACAGTTTTAATTAGGGATAATAAGCCTAACTGGTGTATGCCTAATTTTTATTTTATATATGTTGACGGGGGTTATGTAGCGATGTGCTGTGAACAAAAGGTATCTCCAAGAACAGGGAGCCAGTAAAAAAGAAACGCTGCGCTTTGAGCACCCCAAACTTAACAAATGGTCCTATCAGTACAAAATAATTTGAAGTTTCCCAACTAAGTGCCAGTTAACATATATTCGATTGAATGTGGTTTGAACTGCATTCAATCCGCATGACATGTGAAAAAACAGTGCTTCCTATGGTTCCCTGTTCTTATATGTCCAGTGAACTGGCGATGCGGATTCAGTGCGATTTAAAAGAGTCATGTCCGAATTCTGAGCAGTGCGGTCCAGTTCAGGTGCAGATTACAGGCTATTGATTTCTTTGGGAACTGTTTCTAAACCACACATGTGTGAACAAGATAAAATCCTGACCTGAAACTGTCCTGAACCTGATGTTAAACTGACCTGAACTGCTGAACAACTACTGTGTCAATTAGCTGTGAAACCTGAGCTTCAATTCGCACTGTACGCGTGTGAATCTGCTCTAAATGATTCAGTAAGCATCTGCTTCAGAAGCCTAAACCAGCTTCTAGAGCAGATTCTTGGTAAATCAGTGACACTCATCTCTCCTTCAGGATCATTCTACATATATTTGTGCAGTTTATACTCTTCTCATGCAACATTCCCCAAGCCCCGAAGAAGGGGGACACCTCGGACCCCCAAAGCGAATTGGCTTTAGCTGAATGTTTCTTTTAAAAGCTACTACTGGACTACTGGAAAAAAAGCTTCTGGTGCTTTCCTTTCAGCACAAGACCTAGCAGATTCTTTAGCCCTTTGCGAATCTTTACAAAACTAGAAATAAAAACTTTTGGCTCTATACTTTAAAGTGTAACAATTGCATGTGGATGGCGCTTGTGTCCTTAACTGGGAGTACACATGGCACTGCAACAGGATCCAGGCCAGGGGAGGTGTTCTAGCTTCTATCTTCACTGGTACACAGGGATGACTGGTATTTGATCAATGGAGCTTGGGTGCCTTTCACCCATCTCAGGAACAATAGAGTGAGATCCAGAAGGTCTGTAAACTATCCCTATACAACCTTTCCATGCACTAAACCTAGGTGTCTCTGACAAGACATATTCCTCTCCCTACCTACTCCCATGCCATATCAGTGCTCAATATCCTAAGCAGGGGATAGATATTTTCTCTGGTCCTAAATGGCTGCCAAAATCTTGGAAGAACTTGTGTCTCATGAGGACATAAAGCTCTCCCAAGTTGGCCTCCAAGAGTCCTATACAAAAGACACACCAGTCCTCAGACATGCGTCTCTAGTAGCAGAGGTAAGCAACAGCAGTTTTTTTTGGTACTGTTGAATTGTTGGTCGAGGGGGCGCACTGGACACCTTAGCTGCCATTGTGCTACATGTTGGGTGTCCAGTGCGCTCCTGTACCTATAAGGAGGGGTGGGTTCCCTCAGGTTCACCTGCCCTTGTTCTATCTATTAAATACATGTGTCTCTACTATGGGGGCTCTTAAACTTTTGTAGCATTAGGAACTACAGAATACTGGGGTGCCGTGATGAGGCTCTGTAGCTTACGCATGTATTTGCAAATGTGTGCTAACTAGACCCCTGTTTTTAACGCTTATGGTTAGGTTAATTTGGTTTGTTTGCAAGCTGGCTGGTAAATTGAGCTAGGAAGTTTTCTGTTTTGTTCTTTGAAATGCGGCGCCCTTCCATGTGCTTTTTGCTGTGAAGGCCAGTTATAGACTGGGGCAGTGGCCATTTTTTGTAAGTCACCTGACTGCTTTGCTTACTTCACATATCAGGATCTTGTCTCAGTACTCTGCCCTGCTACCATGTTGCCATGTGCGGCAATGCCACCGCTCAGCTTACTACCTGCAGCTGAACATGCAGCACCTGCCTCATGCATGTGCTTCTACATACAGAAGGTGTGTTTGCTAAGCCATTTGGTGGACAGACTGTCTTCCCAAAAACCATCTCTTACAAACTGGAGGATTCTATATCATTGTTTATTTTGGGCAGTTTGATGCTGCTACAGCAGTTCTTCATTTATCCACAGTTCTCTGGGCAGTTTCCCATAAAAAAAAGCATTGGCTGGGCCCCCACTGCTGTTATACCCTTGGTAATCGCACAGTCTTAGCCATAGCAATAAAAGAACTTACAGCTGTATTGACTTTCCCTTCATCTATTTTACTATTGTGCTTTGTCCTTGTGCTTCCATTCCAGGCAATTGGTACACAGTGATATATTATACACCTTCATTTGCGGTGTGACATCTTAGTGATTTTATTTATGAAGGAAGCATTTGAAAGTGGCAATAATAAAGAAAAAAAATGAGAATACCTTTTTGATCTAAACTGAGGTGCTTGCAAATCTGCATTCGACACAGCTTAATGCTTAAACACCATTTACCAAATTGATTGCATTTTGCTAAAAAAGCAGAAAGCATAAACTGGATTCACACCCCTGTTCTTTGTAGTTAAATATTTTATGTCCTGCACTAAAAAGCGTACTGTCTGCTTTTAGGATTTTGTGGAGTAATGGTATTCTGAAGCATGTCTTAAAGTAGACCTAAGGTGCCTCATACAGATCCCTCCCATCTACCCAGCCATAGCCATATCCGTACACACGTCAGCTCCCATACCCCTGCCACTACAGCCAAATCCTTGGTCATTCTGATAAAACTTGTCTATCTTTTCCTGCCTTCTGTCATTTTCTATGAATTCCAAGTATGTCAATTTTTACATAGTTACATTGGTCCAGCTTGGACCATTGTAATTATGCATATACCATACCCATGAAAGCTGAAAATCATTGTAGAAGGCATCATTACTGCGGTGGTCTCCACTAGCTTCTGGGTCCCACACAGAGTGGCTGTTTTGCAGCATTATGAACACAGAAGTTTCCTCACTCAGCATGGGTTCCATTTACTCTACATTTTCTATATGAATACAAAGCATTCTCTGATTGGACAAGGTGGGGAGGTGGGGAGATGACATCTCGATTCCACTCCGTCCAATCAGAAAACAGTTTGCATTCATTGAGAAAATGCAAAGTGTTCCCTGACTGGGACCCCATGTCAAGCAGGAAGCCTCTTGTGTTCAGTAAGCAGCAGGACAGCCATTCTGTGTGAGACATGAAAGCCAGCAGCAATCACTGTCATTTCAGTACTTACTACAGTTATTCCCAGTTTCCAGGGGGTCCCAACAAGTATTGCACATACTGTAAGCATTGCCATACCTGGAATTTAGCTTTAGATGGTCCAATGGTGTCTTTATTGTAGTTTTATTTTGCAGCAAAGGGAAGGTTGCATTACATAGGAAATTTAAATCTGCTTTAACAGAGGTATATTACATGTGAGCCCCACCCCAAGGCCAGCACCAACCCCAGGAGCTAGATGAATTCCATAGAAGTGCAGGCAAAAGTGATAACTGACCTCCAGTGGCCTTAAAACATTTAAAGATTGTGGTGTGGTGTGGTGTGTGTGTGTGGTGGCTCAGCAGAAGGGGTTTCTAGCCTAGTAGCCATCTGCATGGATCTGGTCTACTGATGGCACATCTCATTCCTTTCCGTTGCATCCAACCTTGGCATGCTTCCTATACGCAACCCCGTAACACCCTTGTGAGAATTTTTCTGGCAACCTGTGATATGCTGAAAATATTTTCAACAGGGATATGCACTGGGACCTGCATCTAAACTATTACAATTACACAAAGATAGATAGATAGATAGATAGATAGATAGATAGATAGATAGATAGATAGATAGATAGATATTTTTTTTACCCCATAAGAAAATAATAAGGCAGTTTTTACCCAACAAGTTAATGGCAGATATATGATTGCTCACCTGGGCTTCCAGTAAGAGTTGCCTCATAATTATCATAGACTTCTTTAAGGATTCCTTTTCAGCTGGGTGGAAGATGTCTTCATTGTCCTCTAGGGGAGATGGTTGGGCCACAATAAAATGGGATATCTGGTCATTTAAGGTGTGCAGGGATTTCACAGCTGTGAAAAGAACAGTGGGAACCTGTTAATCACTGAGCAAAATGCAGTAACCTGTACTGTACCCAGATCAATTAAAATAATTAATTCTGATTGGTTGCTATGGGTTACTACAGCTTCATCTCCCATGCAATGCATTGTAAATGGGTAAGTGTACCTGAAACACAATTTTGGAGCTGTAAAGAGCTGTGCTGAGGCAAAGAAAAAAAATGAAAAATGCATCTAAAAATTGTGTTTGCTTCTAAATTCTAAAAATTGTGTGCATGGGGTTTAAAACATAACTTCATGCAATACAGAAAACTTGTAATTTTCTGAAAATTTTCCATGACCTATTACCCTATCATCCCAGGATTCTCATTCCTGTTTATGTGAGTGCCTTTCACAGAGGTCTGCACAAAGCTTCAGATAGTGTGTAAAACCCGACTTTTTTTTCTTTTTATGTTTTTCCCCACAAACTGTTAAATTTCAAAACTGAATAGCTTTAGAGTTTTCAGGAATAGGTTATGTTTAAGTTTATTCCCTGGCGCTGTTTTGTTAACATCTTAGAAAATCAATAAAAGCCGCGATCTGACCAGGGTTGCCCAAACTTTTTCTTACAACAGATCTTCACAATAGTAGAGTTAAAAATAGTTTTAGTGTAGAACAAAGCTCTCCTGTGCTTCCAACTCTCATCCAGCAGGTTCGCGGTACATGCAGCTGACGTTTTCACGCTGAGAGGGCTGTTACTCTGAAATTACGATGGGGTTTTATTTAGGGTACATTTTAGATGCACGCAGTGCTCCATGTAGTTCTTCTCTGATGCTGTTAAGGGATGTGGGATGCCGGATCATTCTCACAGCCCAATGAAATATCAGACTTTCTGAAAATCTATTTGCTGCTACTCTGCTCTGGCCTCCAGTGAACTCCAGCAAAATGTACTAGGAAAGATAAAAAATCCAAATACAAAAAACATGAAATGAAATAAACTGAAGCGGACAGCAAAACGTGCTGGGAGAAATAAAAGACACAAATGCAAAAAATACTAAATGAAGTACACTTAATTACCAAAAAACACACCTTCTAAATAAATAAATAATTAAAAAAGTAGATTGTAAAGGACCTCGTAAGCTGCTCTGCTCTATTCAGCAGGGGATTTATGAGAAGATGCCCCACTGAACTGGATCTGACCTGGATGGATGTCACTTTTGTGACATCCATGCCCTTTCTGTTTTTTGCCAACATTTTGACAGTGGACTGTGGCAGACCTACAGTATGTTGGATTTATGCTCTGCCAGATGTAAATAGACTTTGTAGACCATTTAAATCAGGCTACCTCCGATCCATCATTTTTAGGTCTAGAGAAACAGAAAGGGACTATGTTTTTTTCTGGACCTGGAGGGACTGTGGACTGTTCATAGACCTTCATTGAGCTTCCAATCAGGTCCACCTGAAAAACTGACAGATAGACCTGATCTGAATCCCATGTAAAAGGAGTTTTACTTTTTTTAAAAATTGTTGTCAAAACAGCTTAATAAGTAACTCAAGTAAAATCATTTTTTTGGTGATCTAGAAGGAGCAGTTAGGCAGTAGCCAGACTGTGGAGTTGATTTACTAAAACTGGAGACTGCACAATTAGAGGCAGCAGTGCATGGTAGCCAATCAGATCTAACTTCAGCTCGTTCAATTAAGCTTTGACAAAAATACCTGGAAGCTGATTGGTTTCTTTGCAGTGCTGCACCAGATTTTGCACTTTCCAGTTTTAGTAGCTCACCCCCCATGTATTCTTTTGATTTATGTGTCTAGACTTAAGTTGCTTACTGCTCCTGCCAGCTGCTGTTGAGCAATCTTAACCCCTTAATGTCGGCACCTCCCAGCTCATAAAGGGGTTTCTGATGCTAGGAGGTGGGATTTATGATCATGTGACCGCTGTGATTGGCCGTCACAATGGTCACATGATGAGAACTTGCGAACAAGAGCCTTCTGTTAGGGGAGCTCACTTTCGGCACAGCTTTGTTTACATATTGGTACACATATATGCATACTCTTGCTGTCAAGGCCCACCTGCTGAGAAGCATATTGTGCCAACATGCCAGTGCCAACAGGTTAATATGAATGAACTTGGAGGACTGCAGACTGCTCATAGACCTTCATGGAACTTCCATTCAGAAGTGCCTGAAAAACTGGCAGGTGGACCTGATCTAAAGCCCATGTGAAAGGGATCTTACTCATTTCAAATACATTTTACCAAAGCAGCCCAATAGGTGAAATTGTAAATTTTCATTCTGATGATTTTTTTTTTTCACAGTGAAATCAGCCATCACTACCCATGACATAGAGGGAAACAAACCCCTCTAAGGAAGTTTCCTGGACAGTTTAATCTAATAGTCCAAATAGCCCATAAAATAAGGAAAACAGGATACAAGTTGAAGGCCTGAATACAGGGTCCCAACACAAGTCAGCAATGGCAGCTAACATTCTCTTCTGACAGGTTCCCATTAACAGAAACTCAGAGTTATGAAATGGAATTTAAAATATTGGCTAGCATATGGTGTGACGTTATGGGATGCCACGTTCCCCTACATTCAGCAGCCCAATTTGCTGGCAATAAATATTTACAAGTATTGCAGATCAAAGCAGCTGCTTTGAGTAATGAGAAATATTCTAATGATATGGCTGAATAACGCAATAATATATGACTTCATTTGACATATCAAGTTGATTTTAATAAGGTCTCTAAACTGGTACATTAGAGCATATAAACACGAGGGCCAGCCCATCTGGGACTTAACAATTGCTGGATCAAGCAATTTGCTAATACCCATAACGGAGTGCAAAAAGAGTGCTTCTAATACAGACAGGAAGTTTAACCAGCCGTCCTGCTTTTCCAAAAAGAACGTCATGTTGCCTATGGTAAGAGTTACCAACAGGCAGACACTTTGCCTGGTCGGTACAAATTAATCGTATGCTAGAATAACGCCACATTAGCATTGTACTTGCATTTCCATTTTTCAAACATTGTCCTCAAAACAAAAAAAGCTGTATGAGGTTAATACATGTAAAGTGTCTTTGTTTTTTGGGGATCAGCAGGGAGCAGTTAGGACTAAGTGTTTCTTTATGTGCCTAGGCTCAAGTTGTTTACTGCTTCGTACAACTACGGTTGAGCAATTTGGGGTTTAACTTCTGAGTTATTGAATATTTAATATATAGGAAGGGTTAGCCTCCCCTTTAGGGTGGGGCTACAAGGCTAAGGTAAAAGAAAAAAAATGAATGCTGGGCAGACAGTAGGAGGGAGGAGGGAGGTAAAGGTGTATAACCGGATCAGGGGCAGACTGACAAATCATGGGGCCCCTGGGCAATAGGGGATCATGGGGCCCTGTGTCCTTGCCCAAACTCAAAAAAGCCTATGAAAAAGGTACCACGGGCATCTCATGGGGCCCCCTACTGACCCAAGTTTCCAAATGGTCAGTCCGTTCCTGAACCAGATCATACCTATACAAGTCCTTTTTAAATATATGTACATGCAAAAGATCCCCCATACATTTCTGTTTAAGTGGCACTACATTCTGGTTAAAAAAAAATTATATTGAATTATGAATTCTAAACATAGAAAAGTCCCTTCTATTGCTCTCAGCCTCCTCCAAATCTTCAAATTCATTTTTTTTACTCTGCTGTTGTTCTAACTTGGCTATAGGGTGGCTACGTTTGTTCTCCATGGTCTCACTGTATGTAGAATGTAGCCATCATCTCTTGTTTGCTATGGGGAAAAGGAGAGGTTCAGGAATTCATAAAGGATGTTACAAGAAAGCAGGTAAACACAATTTATTTATTTCAAGTGCTTCTATAGCGCCATCAATTTATGGAGCGCTTCACATACATATATTGTACATTCACATCAGTCCCTAACCCTCAAGGGGTGTACAATCTAAGGTCCCTAGCTCACATACATACACATACTAGGGCCAATTTAGACAGGAACCAATTCACCTACCAGCATGTCTTTGGAGTGTGGGAGGAAACCGGTGTACCCAGAGGAAACCCATGCAGTCACAGGGAGAACATGCAAACTCCTGGCAGGTGGTGCCATGTTTGGGATTCGAACCAGTGACCCGAGTACTGCCAGGCGGAAGTGCTAACCATTAATCACTGTGCTGCCCACAATAAGGAACAATTTTATGAAAAATAGATTACAGGGTCATTAAGTAATGGATGTGTATGGCGAATATTATTTTATTTTTGGAGAATAAGATAATCATTTAGTGTCACTTTATCCTTTGTGAAATAAAAGAAATTCACATTCAGAAGCTATCATTACATATGCATTAACTGCATACAGATATCAGAGTGCTATATATTTGAGATAATGGCAGTTTAATGCATATACAGTCTACAGTATGTTCAACTAGAACTTTAAACTGCAATTACCTGAAGTACTTTGTTTTGTTTTACCTTAAATATTACCTTAAGTATTAATCTTAACCGCTGCAAATATTTTATTAAAGTGGAACTTTACCCATAAAAACTTGATAAAAAATAATGTTCTTTAGCAAGGAATTTACATTCCACATTAATAATTATGCTACCAAAATGAGTGTGTGCTGTAAATTGCTTCCAGCATTGTTCCGGTTTCTTCTTCATTTTGCTGAAGCCCAGAACCCCTGATCAGCAGTAAATCTTTAGGCTGGCAGCAGATTGGCCTCTAGTGGCTCTGATTTTTGGCACAGTGCCTAAAAATAGAGAGCAATTGAGCATGTGAAAAGCAAGGTAAGACCGTGTATTACTAGATTTTAAAAAGTATAGATACTTATTTTTAATGTTTTACATAGCTATACCTGCAGAATGGGTGATCGCACTGTAAGTACCATATAAACTAAACATAACATCTACAGCTACGTGACAGCTACATATAGTATACAGTGCTGTGTTCTGGCAGTGGGTCGGAGACTTCCCATACAGCTCCAGGAACAAAATTGAGTCAGGCCGAGTGCTGCTCAGCCATTCTCAGGAATCCTTTTATTTTTATTTTACTCTCCACCTCTA